GAAAGATTTAGTATCTATAGCCTGACCTACAATAATTAGCAAGAACATTAGGAACACGAAATGCATTTCTTTTACCCCTCTAGTGGCTGGATTTCAGGATATTTTAGGGTTAAAGCAAGTTGCTTTGTTTTAGGGAGACTGAAAATTTCTGTCCGTTTTTCTCAAGCAATTTCAGCAACCATGGGGCCATGTGTTTAACCAACAGGTGGGTGATAGGCATTTTCGAGCATGCAGAACATCTAGTTGAAAGACTGGATGCCATAATATTTGAGACAGAACCTAAAATCTGATTAACTTTATAAGCAAAGTAGATTAAAGTTTCTCACAATGAGAAAATGCCAACTGGGAAATTCACTGGAGGCAATTTGGATTGATTTTTATGAAGCTTTATCTGGCACTGTTTAACTAGTAACTTCAGAGACTCTGTCACAGAGGAGAAGGACCTCTCTTTCCAGGAGTGCCACAATTAAGGATTAAATACACCTGTTTCATTGTGGACAATTGGTTTCAAAGTCCAAATATTTATTAGGTCAGCATCCTTCTTACACTGCAATCAGAAACTTTTTGGCATTCACTAACCAAGAAAAGCAACTGTGTCATTGTACTTGGCACTGCAGTGTTGGCTATGTTTCACTGTAGGGCTCTGTTTTCCATGTATTTTTTTTTTAGTGGAAGATTGCTGAGTTCCAAGAAGGAAAAGAAAAATAGCCCCCAGGTTGGTTGGTTGTTTTCTGAACAAGACAACAAAAAGCTGTACCATTTGCTTAGTTTAAAATAGAATATTAATTTCTCCCAATTAGCAAGGGAAAACTGAGGCTCCTGAAGTGGGAAATCTAGATGCAATATTCACACATTCCTATGACTATACTGTATGTATACGAACCACTTAGGAATATGTATTTTACATGCTTCCCATGCCTCCTCCCCCCCAGACAGGATAAAATATAACAGCTGACAGCTACATTCCACATTGACAGCTACCATTTCTGAATATATATTGACAGGAGAAGTTGGTTTCCTTAGCAGCTAGAGCCACATGAAAGCTCTTAAACCATCTACTCCCATTATTCAAGTTCTTTAGTATTGTAGCCTTCGGTCAGTCAGTTAGTAAAGACAAAAATAATTATCAAATTAAACAAAATTGAGCAAACTTACAGGGCTACTTTTTTTTTCTTGTCTACTTAGCTTTTCCCAGGAGAATTGAATGTGGCTTTGCAAAATGGTCCCATATCAAGCAATCCATATCACATGCTGGCTGACCTTCAAGTTTTGAACTTTCTTGAAAGGTTAAGTTAAAAATTTCAAAAGACTACTTTGTCTTTGGGGAACAGCATTAGTTGACAGAACTTCATAGCATAAACATTTAGCATGAGTACATTGAATGACAGAACAGGGAAGTAACTGGCAGACATTGATAACTAGAGCCATGATTAGTGACCGTATTTCTTGAATCCAGAATACTTGATAGTTTCCATGCTCCAGTCTCAGTGGGGGAGTGATAGAGGGAGGGGAGCCAGAAGGGTTCTTACAAGATCATCTAGTCTAGACTGTGCTTAAGGGGGCTTCTTGAAAGAATGCCAATTTTCATATGCTAGTGGCATCCATGCCCAGTAGGGCTGCCAACTCTGTTTGAATCTATTTCAGGAGATATCATCATATAATGAATTACAATTCATAGACTTTACATCAGGAAGGAAAATGCACGTTACTATTATATTTTAAAAAAACCACTGGACTACTGTTTAAATTGGATTCTACATTTAATATTTATTTTAATGAATTCCCTATCATTGATCTCCTAGATGACTCTCAGCAGTCTCCTGGAGATTTATGTCCAATTCCTGGAGACCCCAGGGCAATCCTGGAGGGCTGGCAACCCTAATGCCCAGAGGCAGCATGGTATGCAAGTGACTCACCAAGTCCTTCAGGGTTGTTGGTCTTGCTATTTCACTTTTACACCTGAGTTACCACTGAATGAAGGTCCCAGCCTACTGCTAGAGTTCCTCAGCACAATCCAGCTGCTGGATGTGCATTTTTGTTTGCTTTGTTTTGGTAAATAAGTACAGTTCTGGCCACCTGTTTTTGTTGCACACAACCCATGGGCGACTGGTACCTCCTGAGTCTGGGGGGCACCCACAGAAGCTGGTATTGGCAGCGGGGATGGGTCTGGCAAGCACCTGCAGACACCACCGGCAGCATGGATGGAGCTGGTGATCACCTGCAGATGTCAGCAGTGGGGATGGAGCTGGCAAGCACCCACGGATGCCACCGGCAGTGGTGATGGCTCTGTTGGGGGGGCACGTGCCAGTCACCTATGGCACAACCCATCCCCATATAGTAAAAGACTATTATTAGAGTTGCGAAGTTTAAATAATAGGCTGTTAGGATACAGGTACATATATGGTTGCCATTGCAACCTAAATTTAGCTAATTGTTCACTTGCCCTGTGCAGTGAATAAGGCAAGGGGGGACACGGACAATTAGAATGTAACCATGCAATTATAGACTGTATCATAATAATTCATGTTTACAATGAAGACAACATTTTTTAACTTTTGTGGATTTGAATTTGTAACTGAAATAATCTTTTTATATAATATTCTATACAGAATTTCCTACTTTAATGGGAAAAAAAACAAATTCCATTATTTATATTAGTACTGATCTCCTGTTCTCATTTACAGTGCCTTGTTCTTGGAACTAAATCTGGAATTGTCAGCAGTGCAGTGGAAACTACTGTCACCTGAGCTAACAGGCTATACCACAATATGTGCAGGAGCAAGGGTGTAGTTGAGGGGCAGGGTCGTCTTTCTTCCCTCCCACTCAGCACCATGTCTTCCCCCGCAGTCTCAGCGCATGGACTCTTCTGTTCCACGTGGTGTATCAGAGATGGTTGGGCAAAGTGTTACTTCTCCTTAGTGAGAAATGCTACCTCAATGTTCTTTCGCTTTTTTTTTTCTCTCTCTGCTAACACGGTTGCAATTTGAAACAACTGCTGCCTAAAGCAGCAGTGGGCTGGATGTGCCCTGGGTACCTGTGCCCTGAGTCACTGGAGGGAAAGCCTAGCTGGGTGCTCTCATTGTACTTGTTTCTCTGGCAGCTTCTATGAACTTTTAGTGCAATGTTCACTGCTCCTGTGGGGGTGGTGATGATATGAGCTGACTCCCTAGTACTAAAATTTCACTAAGGATTGCATGCAAGAGAAGGGGAAAAATGTGTTTTTTAACAGTTTGTAACTCAGGTAAACCTGACTGGGATTTTAAGCTTGGTTTATGGACTGAACTAGATTAAAAATGTTTATTATAAAATAAATATTATCATCTGCAACCCATTGACCAATGATGCATCCTTAAAATTTTTATGAATGAAGGACTTGTTGTCCTATATTTGTTGAGTCTATTATATATTTGGTATTTCAAGTAAATTTGAAAACATGAAAACCTCAGCCATCTACTGGGGTGACAGGTGGTTCTACCTGTGGCAAAACTTCAGTTATTGTAGTTTTGGCTTTGAAACCATAACTGTCTTTGTTTTGTAACCTATTTCAACCCTTTAGAAGAAGAGTAATCCTCTATTTTCTAAGATTCATTTAATCACAGATAACTCTTCAAATGAAGTGATGACCTCTTTTTCTCTTTTATTAACCTGATTAGAAGACTGCAAAGCAACAATATTATAAAAAATGAAGGATGATGAGTGATGTTGTAGCCAGGATGGTCTATGAATTTTGGAAAAAAAGAGCTCAACTTTAATATAAAGTATATAGGTAAAAGCATAGAGTTCAGTCTCTATTTTACAGACTAGGAACACACAACACCTTATTCCTTCCACAGCACAAAAGTTTTCCTAAAACATGGTAGACTACTGCCTGGTGTTTTTCCTTGGAGGGAGACCTGCTATCCTGCTGTGAATTCTTATGGACAGCTTCTCTCCCTTCTTCCCTTGAAAATGGGCCATTAGAAATATCATATAAGCTGTCTAATTTAACTTTTACAAGTCATGCTGTGGGGAGGGGATCTTCACCCCCACTTGGGGCTTGGTTAATTAAATAATACACTGAATATTATAGGATTCAAATACTGGCATGATTGAATATTTTCATCTGATATTCAGCCTTTAGGGAGATGAAGTGCATGTCCCCACTGCTATGTCTGCTATGTCTGCTTTGGTATATAGTTTATGGTGTCATCTCTTCAAGCATACCCACCTTCCCAGTGGAGGAATTGATTTCTGGCAGAGCATAATTCTAAGGTGTCATGTGATAATAGTCAAGAGTAAAAAAAAAACAAAAAACAAAAAAAATCTCCTTTCTCCTAATACTGTACCAGGAAGGTTATTTAACTTAGGGAAATCATATTCTATCTAAAGCTTCCTTAACTCTGTTTTCTGCAGAGTTTCAGCCTAGAAAACTTTCCCAATGTCCTCTTTACTGGCCTTCTAAAGCTATACAATAAGGAACAGTTGAGATCAGCTATCACACTTCAGTGCTCTCTCTACCAAAATAAAAGACCAGGCAAGTCAAGCATGGCTTCATTTGAAATTTCTGATTTTTGTAATCTCTGCTAGCTAGTCATCAAGATTTAGAATATTTAGCTAAGGAATAAGTAGCATTTTTTTAGTACTTAACACTACCTGAGAAGGGAGAAATCGTGTGTGGGGGTGGGGGGAGCGAAGGAAGTGGGGGAAACAACTTGGAAAAATATATAAAGTGATGCATCCATTTACTGTGGAATTTACTGTGTCTTTTTTCCTCCTTAATTTGTCTGCCTGTCGGTGTTTAGATAGAAGTCATGTGAGCTTTTGAGCTGCTGGGACTGAGAGAGAGGAGAATGTGTGCATTAGTGCAGAGTGCTGCCGGAGACCTGGCAGAGTGAGAGAGACACAGAGAGAGGGAGAATAGAAAGGGGAAGTGGTTGGAGTTGTA